TCTAAAATCAAAAACAAGTGCATTACTTTCATGTCACAAAGTTTGGCTACCAGTAATGCCTGATGGTGGATCTTTTAGTATTTCATTAAAAAACATAGTTTTAAATCTTATACTCTATATGTCTGGTTTCTAGGAAAAAAATTATCCCAATTTAGAGGTAACTTTAAAGACCTGTTTCTCTGGGTTGGCTCATTGTCTGTATTGTTGGCCCAACATTACACCGTGTATTGTTGTCTAGAATTACTCTAACTCTGAGTTACCAGCATTAACCCAACTTTTTTTACCACTGTTATAAATTTTTAACCATACCCAATAACTTATAAACCAATAATCTATAACCAAGACATGGAGAACATTTAAACAAACCTGAGGTGGCCACACATTTGCTTATTTATACTAGACAAAATTTTCTTACTTTTTCTAGCTGTAATTTCAAGAAGCACCTTGTCACCTGCTAAACCCAACAATCACAGTCACAGAGATTTTCTAGGGGAAACAACCATCAGCTTCCTTACCATAGAAGTCAGAAGCTGCTGACCCATATAAGAGCAGCTTGTACAGATAATCAGCTCCTAGCAGAGCTTCTCGAGCTGTGCTAGGATCCTACCTACAGGTGCAAAGTAACTTAACAGTTTTGGTGGTGCAAATTGAGACTTTATTTTCCTTTGAAATGAGTTAAAACTAAACTAAGGGATGGACAGCCAGCAGACAAAGATTTAGCCATTTTTCTTTTGAACATGAAATACAGAGCAACAATCATACAAGAAAACAAAACACAGACATAAACTGACAGACATGGACAGATTGGTGCCCCAAGGACAGACAATAGAAAGAGAGGGAAGAGAACTACATGGGCTGAAGGGACCCATATATCCTAACTAAGGGACTCAGAATCAGAACATTCCCTCAGTAGAAACCATAGAGGAAGCAGGTTGTCTCCTGACTTCCTCCTGACCCTAGGAGAACTCTGGAATAGCCTATGTTCATGTTCCTTCTCTTTTTCCAAACTGTCTCAGACACAGCGGTCAACTGCTTTTCTGAAACCTATTTCCTCTCTCTTGTAAACTATCTCTAATCAGGATCCAAAGCCTAAAAGCATCTATGGGAATTATCTTTGCTCCTGTATAATCTATCATAACTCTAAACACATAAACAAAATACATTCTCCCATTACCTTGTCTTTTTACATGGTTTATTTCAAATCTACTTTAGTTTCCATTATCTTTCATTTACATTCTACCATTACCTTGTCTCTTTTTACAAAATGTATTCATCACTGGCCCAAATCTTTTATTTTCTTTTCCCCTTCATTTCCCTTTTCTTTTCATTTCCTTTTTGAGTGTTCCACTCTCAGTGGTGTCTTTCACTGTATCCTCCTTACTTGAGCCTCACTTTGGGTGCAATCTGACCAAGTCAGGGAGTGAGGAGTGAAAACGAAAAACAGACCAAATTACAACACAACTCCAGCCTGTACTGAAGATGAAGTAGCTTTACTTCACTCCAGCCTCCTTTTATATCATTCTAAGTATATCCAAAACATATGGTCAGTTCTTAGATCAAAGACAATAATCAAGCAAAATCATAAACTAGGAGATAACACAAGAATGTAATCAGGCAGAGAAGTAAGCAAAGGGATCACACAAGGTAGTAGTTAAGTAAAGTAGTAAGCAAAGGGATCACAAAAGGCAGTAATTTGTGGGCCTGTGTGTTGTAAGCTTTCCACAGAAATCTCTGGCCAGCCCAGGTGAAAGGTCCTGGCAAAGGAGAGAGAGTGTGAACAAGGAGGGGGAATCACCTCTGTTGCCTCCACTGCTTCAGCTGCTTCAGCTGCCTCCACATCCATCTCGGATGTACCTACCTCAGTTGCTCCAAGACACTGTACTCTTTGCTCTACACTGAGCTGGGCCAGCATGAACCTGTGATAGGCCTACTAGCCAGCAAGGAGTGCCAGGAAGCTCCTGATGGTGTTTTGGGAGAGCAGATATCTTCCCAAGTGGTACTGTTACAGCTCTTAAGATAGAAGATCACAAACAAAAGAGTAATTCTTACACACCCTTATATCTTCTGGATTGGATTCTTATATACAGTTTTGGGGTAGGTCATGGTCTGGCAGCAGGTATTTCCCGTCAGCTTGTTCAGAGAGATTGGGGATACCTACATACATGTGGGAGGGCTTGGAGTGCTGCTCCTATATGACCAATGGCTATAGACCTCTCTACGGGGGACTATGGGAGACTGTACCTTTGCGTAAGGAGCCAGGACCCCAGAAGCATGACCAAACACCTACTTTGTCTGATGGTCACCAGGCTTTAAAGCCTGTGCTTGACCAGGTACCCAGTTGCCTCTCATAGCCCAGCACCTCACAGTAATTAAGCAAAGTAGAAAAACAAAGCCCATGGTCTCTCTTTCTGATAATCTTATCTGAGACTACTTCCTTACCTAAGCCCAGAGAAAAATGGCCAATTCCTAGAAGCTGCATGAAAAACATCTCAAGAGAATACTATAGTATCATCTAGAAGAAAGAGAAAAATGGATGACATTCAAATATTTGACAGTTAATGCTTTGATTTTTTTCATTTAATTGTTGCATTTATTTACATTCCAGATGACACTCCCTTCTGGTCCCCCTTCCCATAGTTCTTCAACCCATTCCACCTCCTGCTTACCTGAGAGTCAGTGCTCCACCTCTCCCCCCAGACCAGCCATCTCCCTACACTGAGGACTCAAGTCTATACAGGATTAGGCACATCCTATCCTACTTGGGCAAGACCAGGAAGTCTTCTGTTACATATATGTCATAGGCTTCAGACCTGTCCTTTTATACCCTGTTTGGTGCTTCTGTCTCTAGGATCTCCCAGGGATCCAGATTAAATGCAATCTCCATCAATATTCCAGATCAATTCTTCACAGAGATAGAAAGAGCAATTCTCAAATTCTTCTGGAACAACAACAACAAAAACCAAGGTCATAGAAAACTATTCTCAACAATAAGGGAACTTCTGGGAGAATAAGCATCTCTGACCTTAAGCTGGATTATGGAGCAATCGTTTAAAAAACACATGTTATTGGTACAGAGATACACAGGTAGATCAATGGAATAGAACTGAAGACCCAGAATTAAATCCACACATCTATGGTTACCTGATCTTTGACACATCAACCAAAACCATCCACTTTTTAACCCAGCATATTCAACATATGGTGCTGGTCCAAGTGACAGTCACCATGTAGAAGAATGCAAACTGATCCATTTTTATCTCTTGTCCAAAGCTAAAGTCATAAGTAGATCAAGGACCTTGACATAAAACTAGATAAACTGAATCTAATAGAATAGAAAGTGGCCTTGAACACATCAGCACAGGGGAAAATTTCCTGAATAGAACACTAATGGCTCAAGATCTGAGATCAACTATAGACAAATGGGATCTCATAATATTAAAAAGCTTCTGTAAGGCAAAAGACACTTCCATCAGAACAAAATGCCAACCTACAGATTGGAAAAAGATCTTTACCAACCTGAATCTGATAGAGGGCTAATATACAATATATACAAAGAACTCAAGAAGTTAGATTCCAGAGAACCACACAACCCTGTTAAAATGGGGTACAGAGCTAAATAAAGAATTCTCAACTGAGGAATCTTGAGGGACTGAGAAGCACCTAAAGAAATGTTCTACATACTTAGTCATCAGGGAAATACAAATCAAAACAAACCTGTTATTCCACCTCACACCAGTCTGAATGGCTAAGATCAAAAACTCAGGTGATAGCAGATGCTAACAATGATGTGGAGAAAGAGGAACACTCATCCACTGCTGGTGGAATTAGAAGCTGGTAAAACTACTCTGGATATCAGTGTGGTGGTTCCTCAGAAAATTGTACATAATACTACCTGCAGACCCAGCTATACTTCTCCTGGGCATATACCCAAAAGATGCTTCAACATATAACAAGGACACATGCTCTACTATGTTCATAGCAGCCATAGTTATAATAGCCAGAATCTAGAAACAATCCAGATGTTCCTCAACAGAAGAATGGATACAGAAAATGTGCTACATTTACACAATGGAGTTCTACTCAGCTATTAAAGACAATGATTTGATGAAATTTGCAGGCTAATGAATGGACCTAGAAAATATTCTGACTGAGGTAACCCATTCACAAAAGAACACACATGGTATGTACTCACTGATAAATGTATATTAGGAAAAAAAGCTCAGAATGCCCAGGATACAATTCATTGATCATATGAAACTCAAGAAGATGGAAGACCAATGTGCAGATGCTTCAGTCCTACATAAAAGGAGGAACAAAATAATCAAAGGATATAGAGGGAGGGATCTTGAAGGGACAGAGGAGGGGAAGGGAAAAGGTAGAACTCCTGTGTTCCTGGTTAGGACAAACATCTTGTGTCACTGGTTAAAGCAGATCTCTTGGGAGAGAAGCAGGCTGTGGAGTGTTGAAGGGAATGGGCAACCTTAACTGCCATGGTTAGAGGAACAGACTGGAAGGAAGAAGGAGCTAGGGCGAGGGGGTAGCTCCCACATCAGCTGGGTTTTGTGGGTGTTCCAGCTGGGGTGGATATTGTAGAGGGTGTCTCAGCTGTGTTCTTTGTTAAGGAAGATTTCCTGAGAGACAGGCAATCTGTAGAGTGTGGAAGGAGAGCAGGTGCACCAATCTACTCTGGGTGGAGGTGCAGCAATATTTTTATTATTATGACATTGGCAAGAATGTATTAAATTTCCATATTTTTCTATGCATGTCAATTGTTTTATATTGAATAGTTTAAAAATTAAAATAAATGATAAGATTCTTTGATCAATTTTTCACATATATCTCTGTGTGTGTATTTTGAACCATATCTATATGTATATAATTATAGATATGTTTATATTTATAGATATATTTATATTATATTTATAGATATAGATATATAGATATAGGTAGATATAGATAGATATCTTTTTATATGGTACAAAATTACAAAGAAGATTGCATTGGTAAAGCAATCAATGAGTGTTTATTCAGAATGTAGTTTATAAACTAGAATGATGCTGAAATTTTATTTAAAAACTGCATTGTCAATGAGCTCTAATTTTTCTTCATTTTCTTTTCCTTCTTCACAAAGAATTGACAAGCAATCAAGCAACACTTTATAGAAATAACTGCAGTGGCCACCACACAGGCTAGTAGGAATCCAATCACATCCAGAGAGTGATACTGGTACCAGGTGAGGTTGTATGCAAGTGGTCTCAGGTGCTTGGCTCCTTTGTGGCGCATGACAAACTCAATCCAGAAGATAACCCTTTCCAGGGGCTTCATAGGCTGGTCACGGTGAATGGTTGATAACCACATAGCATTCTCTTTATAGCTGTAAGTGATAAAATGGTAATCCAAAATAAATTATAGAATGAGTGAAAATACACATTTCTAAAATTTTGTGTAGATAGTAAAACTGATTTTACAATAAGCAGGAGAAAAATGAATTATGCTTTACATTTATGCCCAGAACAATGTTAATCGGCATGTTAGAATTTCTTGAGTAAACAAACTGGAAGTATATAAACAGAAAAGTAAAAAAGACTAAACATTCTGAAATTACAGTTTTTTAAACAGTTAATCCTTACATATAACATTACAAACTGACATATTTTTTGCATATATGAAACTTTAGTTTTCCAGTGTGAGGATACAGTTCAATAATAGACTTCTGTGAGGATATTTCTAAGGGTTTGTTAGAAAACTCCTCAAAAACAAGGTAAAAGTCTCAAGACCTCAGTTTCTTCGAAAACACAGGATTGCTTATGGATTACGCTTTTGTGACCCTTTCAAGTGTAGCAAATAGGCACACATTTACTTCAGATTATTTATTATAACTGATTACTGTTATTTTTTCATGTGCCTTGTGGAAAAACTTGTTTTGCTATGAATGGCTTGTCCATCATGTGCATCTTGTCCCTGTTATTTTACACTTTATTCATGTGCCTCTTCTTAATCCTCACAGTAAAAATTGACTGATACTCTAAGTAAAGTAAGCTATTGCATGAGAGTTTACTTTGTCTCACTTATCAACCTGACTCTCCCAGGTCCCACTGATACTGTAGAGTGGTAAACAACCCAGTAAGCAATTATAAGCTGGGTGTTTGTTCAAACTGTGTACTAGCATCAGAAAGTGTAAGTAGAAGGCAAATATTTCTCAAGCTGCAACCATGGCATTGGATATTCTACTGGCTGTGTATTGACGATAAGCAGTTGGTTTTGAAATGAAATTTTTTGTGGAATGCTATATAAGTCATTACACAATATGATTTAAAATGTGTCCTGGATCTTATTAATTAGCTCTAAGGGCTACTTCCTGTTGCTTTTTTCTGTTTTGTATGAAGGTTAGTACTTATTAATGTAATTAATAGAAAGCATAACAATTCTTTATGACAATATTGAAATTATTTGAATTTGTATTGCATTACATGTATTCACATTATAAAATAAACTCAATATTTTGGTTATTATTTTCAATTATGTACATGTGTGTGTCACTGTGTGTGCATATGGGAATGTGCAAATGCAAGACTGTGTGCTCCTGTGTATGTGTGTCTGTGTGTGTGTGTGTAATATCTGCAGAGCTGGATTTACAGATTGTTGACAATCACCTGATATTGGTGTTGGAAACTGAGTTATGGCCCTCTACTAGTATGGATCCTGCTCTTACCCACTGATCCTTCCTATGACCCTAACTTTTGCTGTTACTGCTAACGTTCATTTTTTGTTTGCATTCTCATTTTAAAGAAATACTTAAAATTTCACACTGAACCATGTAGGTGCATTTGATTCTATTGTTGAAAAGATTATTGATTTTTATATCAAGGTTAAGTGTTACATAGAAACATGAGTCAGCAGCCCTAAATATCAGTTTAATGTAGCACAACAGGTATGAATTACAATGATAGTAACTTACCCTCCTACTGTTTACAAAGTGCAATAGGAAAACTGAGATTTTCTTTTCATTAAAACATCCTTATTTTTTAGTATGAATATTATATTTATTTACAGATTGTGAATCAACTTATTTGATTAAGGAATGAGAAGAGGAGAGGTATCTTATAGAAAGGGAGGAAGGTAAATGCAGAAGAAGGTGTGCAGAAGATAAAGAGTGAGAGCAGAGTTCAAGTGATCTTATGAGGGAAATGAGAAGAGGGAATGATCCTTTGGGAGAAGAAGAGTGAGAGTAAGAGAAAGGAAAAAGGAGAGGGAGAGGGAAGAAGGAGTAGGAACAGAAGAAGGGAGAAATGGGTAAAATCACAGGAAGAATGTCTGAAAATCCACAAAGAATTATACTATTGACTATTTATTAAAATTACCTGTAATGCATAAAATTTAATGTATAAATATACATGTATAGTTTTAAAGAACTTTTCTTACCTGGAATGATGGTTCTCCCTCCAAGATATAAAAACTACTTACCATAAAACCCAACCCAACACTATACATGGAAGCCCTCCTGTGAGATTTTAGCCAGAGTTGTCAAAGAGCTTATTAAACATATTGTTCTTGACCTTGGTTATTCCCCAGAGGTGAGAAGCATGTTTTTATTTCTGAAAGAGCATATATTTCAGAAACAAGACATAGAGGTCTCTGAGCTGTAACTTACTTGAAGCACCTTACCTGAAGACTACCTTTCTCGATAGACCAGAAAATAAAGGGTTGAAAGATAATAAGAGACAGAGGGCCAAGATATTTGGTGTGAAGATTATCATTTGAGAAATATCATAAAAGTTACACTCATGAAGTATGACATCATGGGAGCCTAAACAAGATCTGAATAATGACAACACCAATCGGCATGCCAATATGGAGAGGGTTAAACCTTACCCTGGCCTAAACAATACACAAAACTACTATAGGACCTATGGTATGCTGAAAGTGGGATAGAAAAAGTCTTTTCCAGAAAACAGCGTCCAAATAGATTTTTTTATAAAAAAAAAAATGATGATGGACTCTAATGGATTTTCACATATATTAACATATTGAGTTGCAGAGTTACACATTAATAGCTTTTATATTCAATAATAAAAGTTATAAGTGACATAATGTCACATGTGTCTTTTATAGCATTCTAGTAGATCCACTGTGATGTTTTTCTAGGCCTTCTATGTGTAACCTATCTAAAACCACAGTTTATGTTTGATTTCTTTTGACTCATTGACTACTTGGGTTTTGAACTATTTTTAAAACCCTAAAAAATGAATTGAAAAGAAATATTGGCCAGATATGGTAGCATACACATTTTGCCCAAGCAGAAAAGTTGAACATTTATGATGAACCTGATTTATATAGCAAAGAAACACAAAGAATAACAAGGAAATTAAAATAATAACAGAGAGAATAACAAGCATGTACACTGAACCATGCCCTAATTTGTTCTGTTCCTACAATAATTATTACTCTGAAAATACTACTTGCTCATTTGTCCTTCTGTAAGAAGGCCAATGACTCAATAACTAACCAAATAAATAAATACATATGTAAATGAATGAATAAACAATTGATACACATTTTAAAAGATTATACTCACAAAGGATTGTCAATGACTTCTTTCAGTGCATTGAGCAAATCTGAGCTTGACAAGGTTCTGATATTTAATGCAACAGCTGCTCCTTTGGCCACCATCTGGGCAATGTTATCATGCTGTTCTCCAAACAAAGGAATGCCAATCATAGGAATTCCATGATGGATCGCCTCATAGAGGCCATTGGCTCCACCATGAGTTACAAAGGCTTTGGTTTTTGGATGACCTAGAATAAAATGAATTCAGGATAACATTAATTAGCAATCTTGGACATGAAAAGAGAAATGTATATGTATATACTAATGAGGAACTCAGAGAAGATTTCTTTTATATAAATATGCTTATACTCAAAAAACATTGAAATATCTATCTCAGAGCAAGAAGACATTAAATTTATATACACCTATTTTCCAGATTTGCATGTGACTTGAGACTTGAACTATGAAATACTTGTTTCCAGGTAAACAGATGAAGCACATAGTAGATAAGAAAAAGCAAGTTTGAAAAAAAAAAAACGCATGGGTGAACACCCTCATAGAAGCTGGGGGAAGGGAGATGGGATATGGAGATTCTGAGGCTTAGAGGGAACCAGGAAAGGGGATAAAATTTGAAATTTTAATACAGAAAATATTCAATAAAAAAGAAGTTGATTTATTAAATAAAATATTTATTAACTCCCTGTAATATAAAGACTTTGGGTATACTAGGATAGGTACAGTAATAAAGGAAAGTCAGTTGTGATTCCAGATTTGATTTCTAGACTCTTACCAAGAAGGTCATTCTGGGGAAGCCACTTGTAGATTCTTGTATTGGGTCCTAAGGAAGCTGGGTTTTGGCCATCAAATCGCCAAAGAACCTATTAAATGTCAGAGAATCTTTATTGGTGGAGCCAAATTTTACATTATACAGCCTTAGCAGGTTATATGTAAAAATATAAATGTAGATACATATATTTATATAATGACAATTAATGAAAACATGATGTCATGGATTTGAAAGACAGCAAAGGCAGAGATATGAGAGTGTTTGAAGGGAGGAATGGAAAAGGAGAATGATGTAATAATAATTTCCAATCTGGAAATCATTTTTTAAAATATAGCTTTTTATAATATCTTATATTAGAGAAAACATAACTTATTACCTGCCATGGGATAAGTAAGGAATTCAGAAGAGCTGAGCAATGAAAATTTTAAAAGACTGAGAGAAGAATGTGCCAGCAGTTCCTGTGTTTATTTTTATATTCAGACAGGTTGAACATAATCCTCACTTTTTCAGCAGATGAATTTAGACAAAGGAGATAGTTAATAATACGTGAAAATACGTAATGCCTTGGTGGCTTAATTCAATCAGAGAAGAATGGCAAATTACTAATAATTTATATTTTGTATAAACTATTTTGATAGATCTAATACTCCAGCATTAATATCTTGGCATTTTTACTTACAGTTTACTTTTATTTATTTGTTCTATGTTACTTTTAATGAATTTCAATATTTTGTCTTCATTGTGGTGTATGTATGCCTTCTTCCCAGGGGTAGCAGATAAGGTTGAGTATGTTATTACCCATTCCTTGCTATTGTTATTCAGATAATATTTAAACTGTCCTTCATGTACCTTTATAGAAATACAAGTCTTGTCACACATGTGTTGTCCTTGTGACTGTGTACAGGTTGAATTCATGTGATCTTTACTTATATGACATATCTTATCCTCAGATCATTCATTGTTTGATGCTCTGAATAAAGCTGGCTATTTCATGTGATTTGGATCTGCCCAATTTATCACTCTGTCAGATTACAATGAACATCCTATGTTTCATGTTTAATGATTCATAGAGAAGACTGTAGGGCCAGCACCCATGTCTACCTTTCCTTTATATATTTCTTCTACAAATATTGGGAGGGGAGCCCAGAAACTGTTGATTTTGTTTATTTGTTTGTTTTGTTTTTGTGTTTGTTTTTATTTTACTTTTAAACAGCCCTCTCAACTGCACACTGAACAGATCTACTTCAAAATTAGGATGCAGACGCTTGCTATATTTCAAAAACTTTCAATACCTGCTTAATATTCTTATGTTAGAAAAAAATTAATACAAATTTACTCCCCCCACTCCAAAAAGTCTTATATATGCAGTGACTTTAAATAATTAACAAATGGAACAAGTGACTCTGAAGAATTTGCTGTCTACACACCCTTGACGGTGATGGCATCATAATGGCAGCATTTTGAAATGTACCCAGAAAGAGCACAAAGTTGATATCCAAGTTACTTACAGCCAAAAACACCTTCTGTAGTATTCTAATATCTGATGTGTATATCTGTTTCTAAATTGTCCAAAGTCAGTTAGAGCTTATCTAAATCTTTATATTTCACACAGTCATTCCTCGAATCATACCTTCCAAAGACTTTCACAAGCTCAGTATACATTCCCCTCCTATGGACACTTTATCTCACCTTCTGTGGAATCTGGGCAAGGGCCCATGCAATTGCGTTGGCCCGTTCTTCAGTCATGTTCCTGACCATTGACCCCAGAGAAAACACAACCACTCCATGTTCTCCAGAGCTCTGGACAAAGTCTTCCATTTCCTATGAGAAAAGAACTGTTTGCATCACAAAATAACGATTATAGAAAAAACATTTATGAAAGTTTTATGAAAGAGAACCTAGAAGAAAAAAAATGAAGTATTCTTAGGAATTTTTAGAATTGCAGTTTTAACAAATACAGAAGGCAAAATTGGCAATGTCAAACACTTTGAACATCACAGACAACTGTGTAAAGTGTACCCACACACGTTCAACAAAAATTCTCTATAGGTATTTGCCTACATTCATGTCTGTGTGTCATTTATATGCAGTGCTGACAGATGCCAGTAGAAGATGTTAGATCTCTTAGAACTGGAGTTACAGATGATTGCTGGGATCAAACCCAGGTCCTCTGGAAGAGCAGCCAGTCCTTAACACTGAGCCATCTCTCCAGCCTCAACCAACATTCTCAATAATTTCCTCTGGCAAAGTGAAAGCTTAAGAGTGCAAATATAGTATGTAATGTATTTGTAAAATTGTAGTGTCATTACATTTTCATCTTGTAGAAAGTATAATTTTTTCCTCACTATTTTATTTTTCTCCTATGATGGCTGATTTAATGCTATTACTTAGTGTTTAATGAAATAATAACTATTTTAAAGCATGTACATATGTGGTAGTTAAGACAAATTTTCTAATAAATTCAATTAATGGTTTTTTTGTAAAATAATTATAACTCCATGGTAAGCATATAATATGTAAAAATTCTATGATATTGTGAATAAATAGGGTATTTTCAGATAGGACCGCCATGATTTTTTAGGTGAATGTTGAGATTCAAACTCATGTCATCATAGTTGCTTTGTAAGGATTTCACAAATGTCTAAACATCCAAATACCTTACTGAACTTAATTTAAGTCACTGATATGAATCTGTCCCAGGTCTATCATGCTCTTTCTCTATTTTATTGAATTCATAGTTAAGATGATGGTTAATTTCACAATATATCCTTTAGAGAGAAAACATAATGAAATGTGTAAAATCACTTTTACTGGAAATGAAATGAAAAGAAAAAGAGATGAGAAAAATGTATTTACCTTAGGCAAGGGTTTAGCAGGTTTGCAGTGGAGTCCTCCAACATACTCAACATTTGGTAAGGTTGGGTGAGGAAACTCCAAATCCCAGTAAGATCTAATGAACCACATTTCTGCTTTGCCCATGGTCTCAGCTAAGGTGGTTGGCCTTCCTAGGTAGAGAAAATGTGCAAATGAGACAAAGAAAAGTTGACAAGACTCTCTTCTGAATAAAAAATATATATCCTTAAGACTGTTGGAAAAATTTATGTTTGATGTAGAATATGTGCATTATAAAACCCATGGTTTTGTATATATAACATATTTAGCATGTATGATTTGTGGCTCCCATAACAAACATAAGTGCCAGTTTGGTTTTATTCTTAAAGCTGACTTTGAAAGTTACCTCATTTCTTCCATAATTTGAAACCATGAATAGTTATTCAAATAATCTACTAACCCACTGTTGTGAGCAGACTCCTAGCAGAAATCGACTATCATCTTTGAAGCCATCTCAGGCCATATACCCTGACAAGGGACTTATTTTCAACAGCCTACAAGAGCTGAACACACTCTGATAAACATCTTGTTTTTCTCACATATCTTGTTTTGTTGTTTAGTGCCCAGCTGCAAGGCACATGTGGTAAAGTGTTTTCAGCTGTGTTCCCCTGCTTGTGCTTATATATACCCATGATTTACTTTTAGTGAACGGGACTTGATCACAAACCCCGTCTTGTCTCCATTCTTCCCGTCTCTTGTCCCTCCATCCCCACTCTCTCTCATGCTAGACCCTGACCTGCAGACTGGAGCAGCAGCTTGGGCCAGTACAGAGTGGCCCCCAAAATGGGGCAGAATGGGCTGTAGCAAGCCACCATATAAATAAGCACGATTTTACTCATATCTAAATTTTCAAGAGGAACTGTGTCAATATAAACACATGATACAGGTCCAAATCTCACTCTGTGCTGTGTACCCTGGCTAGAATTCCCAGGGCCACTGTAGTGTATAGGTAGTCCTTCATCCTTCTTTTGTCAAGGGAGCTCTAAAGTTTATGAATGGCTGAATTTCTAGATAGTGCTCCTTCTTTAATTTCATATTAAAATATCTAATAGTATTTATCTTATAAAAACAATCACAATATTTATACATGTCATAAGGTAGAAATTTTATGGTAGTCTTAACTGTGGTATAATTTTCAAGGGAAGAAACTTGACTTCTAAACGTATACAATAAGTATATATGTTTCCATGTTTCTATACAGTACAGACATTTAACAACGCGTTAGGAACGGATACACTAACAAGATGTGCTGGTAGGAACTTCAGTTTCATTTTCATACTTGCAAACTAACATTGAGTCTTTGAAGAGTAGGAGAAATATTTAGGAAATACAGAGAATATATTCTATGATTTATCTTTTCATTTAGGTGTGTTTGTGTTTTTATGAGTATATGCTATTACTCTATTATTCTATGGCCTGAGGATACCATAAAAAGACAGCAGGTTCCCTGAAGGTGAACATACCGTCAATTTTAGGACACTGGACATGAGTGGATGCTAGGAACAGAATACAGGTACTGAATTTGCACATAAAACAATCAAACTTATGCCATGTGGTGAAATCACACATTTTAATTTTCATACAAATACATTGGCTTTTGCAAAAGAACACAATTTCTTCAATTTAAAATACATATTGATACTATAAAAGGTGTTATTCTTTAAATAATTCAATATTTGGGTAATCAGCAAGTGACTTAATAAAATAGAGGGGAAAAGCTGTAAAATGAATAAACAATTACTAGAGACCATCTACTTGAAACTCTTTACAATTGTATAGTGAATCAGAATGTCTTTTATCAGGACTGATACCTTCATTTGAATAGTAATATGAGCTTTCAACACAGCATTTCTGAGATTGTTAGCTAATATCCTATTATATATTTGATTACCTAAAAAACCAACTTCTCTTTGCATTTCATGGAAATATAGCTTCAAATACAAGTGTAACTCAGGTTATCAATCTACTAAGAAGAAATATAACTTACCCAAGGTTTCACTGTAAAACTGATCCCATTTCTTCTCTGTAAATGTCTGGAACCAAAAGTCAAAATAAAGCATACATATCATATTTTTTACCCTCTCTGTGAATGTCATTTGGCCGCCTAATCCTGATAAAATCACAGGTACATAAGAGGGAGGGAGTGTAAGTCCTCCACTGTATTTTTCCATTGTGTAGCCTGGAGAGAAGCGAAGACTGTACAGAAAAGGAATCTGGAGCAGTTCAGCTATCAGCTCCCCACAGGAAGCAATGGCATCTAAGAAAAGGACATCAAACTTGGATTCCTTTAGTTTTGTCATGAGCTGTTTGTTTGAAACAACATCCTTACAAAGACTTAGACAACATTCAGAATATTCATCAAACACTTTTTGAAGTATAGGAGAATATGATAAGCATGTATCTTTTGGGACCTCATAAGTCCACACATCCACAAACACAGTGAAAAATTTTTCCAGATCCTCTCTACTGAGAGCTGTAGGAACAGTTTCAAACTTAAGGCCAGGCGACTTTTTGGGATCAACAAAGATGGAAGCTGAAGGTCTCAGAACAGTGACTTCATGGCCTCTCTGTACAAGTTCATCCAGTATTATCTTTAAATTCATCCAGTGACTGAATTCCATCGGCCACACCAACACCTTCCCACAGCTCGTAGATCTGAAGCAGCAACCCATCTGCAGCAGGATCAGGGCAGAAATCCATTTCACAGGCATCTTGGAAATCAATGTCCTTCTGTTCACAGTGTGTTTTCTTCCTTCACTGCATGTCTTTATGTATGAGGAGAAAAAAATCCATGAGTTAAAATATAACCTGAGTTGGTACAAGGAAATATACTTTATGACCAGATTGAAGTTGTTGCCTGAACAGAGATTGTAAAAGCAAATATTAACTATTTCAAATTTAATGTCACATGGTTTGTAATGAAGGAGTCATAACCTGTCTTTGTAAATCTGTTTGCAAGAGTTTTGAATCATAGAAAGAACATTAATTAGTGTGAGGTGAGTCTCCATTTTATTCACAACACATGAACTAAAGTTGTACTAGCTACAGAACTTATCAGTATTTCATGGGTACTATTTTGTAAGAATGTTGATTAAAAGAGTTAATCACATCCAGTTTGTTGAATAGCCTGACTGTGTGCCTTACTTACTTGACAGAGACAAGGTCTGGGAATAAGATAGACAAGAGTTTGCTGTCCTGAGTTGTATTAGCTGCTAAGGTTTGCAGAAAGCAGCCTGTTGGTTCAACCTATCTGTCCACAGCACTTTCATAGGACCAAGAAGTAGCTGGATAGTTTGTTCTTGGAATCTGTATTACTTATGGTTTCATTGTTGTGAAGAGACAACATGGCCTAGGCAACTCTTATAAAGGACAGCATTTAATTGGGCTAGCTTCCAGTTTCATAGATTCACTCCATTATCAACATGGCAGGAACCATAGCAGAGTCCAGGCACATACATAATGTTGGCGAAGAAACTGAGAGTACTACATCTTCTCCACAAGGCAGCTAGAAGACTGTTTCTACATTGGGCAAAGCTTGAGCATAGGATCATAAAGCCCATCAGCACAGGGACACACTTCCTCTAACAAGGCTACACCTACTCTAACAAGGCCACATCTCTTAATGCATATTCAAAGCACAACAGAATCTTAGTGCACAAACACCCTGAGAAATAGCTGAGTAGATAACCTCCTCACCAAGAAACATTGTGTCTACCATTTTTAAATCACCAACGTTTCTATGTGCCCATGAAGATTGTGGATACTGACATATAATTTGCCTAGATCTTCTTGGTTGTCTTGGTTTTCAAACAACTCTAGGATGCATCAGCTAGGAAAAATTCTTGATGATAAAACAATTATATAGTATAGAGTATAATTTCTCATTACACTGACCAAGTCATTTACCAAAACAAAATTTGGTGTCATAGATGTATTTTATTGCACAATTTGAAAGGGTGGTATCCATCATGACTTCCAAGGTATGTATTTATGTGTTTACATGTTCATGAGTTTATGTGATGGAAACACATGGAAGGGACACCCTCGCCATGGAAAAAAATGATTAATTAATCCTCTCTGGAAATTTTCTCAAAGTTATACTCAAATATTTACTTCAATAGAGACTTTAGCAGTCAAGTTAGCAAAGAAAAAAACAACCAAATTATGAAAAATATCAAAAGGAGAAAAGCGAACACAAGATATAAATAAAACAAGAATGAAACAAATGAATTAAGTAGGATATAATTAATTATAAACAACAAGCTTGACTGTTAACAGGCCAAATTCCTTTCTTAAGATATACATAATACCTATGTCAAGCAAAATTCCATACATTAGATGCTACCTATAAGAAAATAAATAAAAGGAGACTTCCAGTCTGGGCCCAAGCATAGAGCAGGTCACAGGCAGCAGCTCCATACCCAACACCAGAAAACCGAGAGAAAGAGGGACTCCCAGGAGCTTTAACTCAGGCAGCATCCCAGGTAAAAATGAATCACCCGTGATGTCTGCTGTTAGAAGTTCTAATCCAGATGCTGGCCTCCGAACTTACACTACTCAGACCTTTGAAGGGCCACTGACAAGAACATCAAACAGCTAGAGATTGACATCACTAATCTGAAGAAATCCCTCGTTTCGCCATCTGAAGAAACCTCCTAAAATCGCAAAGATTCTTAGTGGACTTGATTTACTCTAGTACAATAGAAAAGGCTGTATACAGCTCTTGACTGTGTACAACCCTCAAAGAAAAAGGTTGCCTTTACATAGACAAGACAAGAAGGGTTAAAGAGAGCATGAAATAGGTAGTGAAGGCCCTAAGAAAAATCAGAGAGAGAGAGAGAGAGACAGAGGAATGCTGGTACAAGAATTGGTTTGCAGCCTCTCCAAGGTTGTCAACCCTATTTCCTCCCATCTAGGGACTATTATTTGGGTTCTTTTTGCTTTTTTCTGTTGGTCCCTGGCCCTCAAATAGGCGGACTAACTCTGTGATAAAACAGATAAATAATTTGGTAGCAAAATCTACTCATATACATTAACATAAGTTAGCTATGGAGGACCACGAGACTCAAGATGAGGTTGTTATTTATACAGGGTGTTCCCAAAACCCATCTCCACCCAACCTAAAAGGGGGGACTTCTGCCCCTAGACCAAGCAGAGAGGGGCCACCCAGAACCCCCTCTGACAGGCGATCTGAATTCTTGCTTAGGCTGAGAGGCTAAGCACTGCAAGGGAATATAAATAAAAGGTAAAAATATCTCTCTGAGTTCCCTGAGGGACAAGCCTGACTGCATAGGGGTTGATGTCAAAAGTATCCCCTCTCCAGAAAAAAGACATTGGGACGGGTATGGCCCTCATGCCTCACTGGACAACGACAGGGGGACTGGAGCCATTACAAGGTCCCCTTCAAATACTGGAGGTCAGGCCTCTATCCCTGCCTTCACAAGTTTAGAATTGCCACAGCCCTTCTATACTTAGAGAAGGAAGGAGATGTCAGGGGAAGGCCTGCTTACACACTGAAGGCCTAAAATCAACCATAGGCCTAAAATCAGCAATAGGCCTGTCATACATGTATACTAGCACCAAGTCTTGGGTCTCAGTGGAAAAACATTGAAACAGATGCCTATAAGCTAATGTCAACAGGCAGCTTTTGTGGAATTTTATAAGCCTGAGTAGTCATAGACCTTGTAAATAGGTAGCCTTGGCAGACAATACCAACTTAGATAAGGACAAGAGAGTCATAGGCATAGTCATAATGAATTGTCCCCTGAACCTTCACCTAGTTGATACCCAGTTCTGAAGATATCTGTATTCCCCCTGAACACCTACACTCCAGTGTCATTCCCTTCCCCACATCCTGCCTTTCTGTGTTTATAACTCCTGTGTGAATTAATTATGATTTGAGAAAAAAATTAAAAAAAGAAAAAAAAGAAAATAAATAAAAAACACTTGTACTGAAAATTGGAAAAATTAATTTTATATAGAGGTAAACTACAAGTATAGTACAGTATAGTATAGTATATTCACTTACAAGTGTCAAAGCTAGGATTAAGTCATAGAGTAGAAAATATGAACTTTAAGGTCAGTATATATTTACAAAAATGTCAGTTGGGCAAACTGAAATAAAAATGGTAATAATACACATCCAGTCATATTCAACAAACACTGGACATGAAAAATTGATCAACATAATTGTTAGTATCCTAATTATTGTGGGAGAAGGTTTGATCACACTACAAACTCTGTTATTGTGTTGTTTACAGGAAAAACCTGTTTCTAGTTGTAGTATGGCTCAGTCCTAATAAATAACTTTAATCCAAGAGCTTTCCATTTATTGTAAACAACAAGAAATAAAGTCAACCATAGCTCAAGAATCAGAGAATGCAAACAGTTACAAGGAGTGAACATAGAGGAAAAAAAGAGAAAGGAAAAGAAAGAGAGGTAGTCAGGCTCCAGCTTCTGGCTTCTAAGTCTTTACTAGTATAACTGATTGTTTAAGATTTTGTAAAAAAAAAAAATTATATTTCTTTAGCTTTGATCACAAAGGGACCCAAAGCAACCTGAGGATAAAGAGATATATTTGGTTTACACATTCTGACCATAGTTGGCTTTTTCATTCATGCCACAGTTCACAAATAATGACTTGGATACTGAATTACTTATGAATAAATTCCTAGGCCATAAGTTTGGGCTTGTTCCCTGACTAACTTATAACTTATATAACCTATTTATTCTTGTCTATGTGTGCCACAGGGTTGGTTACCACTCCTCAGTTTCATATGTCTGTCTCCTTTTAGTCAGTGGTAAAATCTTCCTGCCTCTGACAGTTTTCCAGAATTCCTACTTCTCCCTGCTAGCAAGGAGATGTCCTACCTTCCAATCCCACATGAACTCCTCAATGGCCTTCAGCTATTTATTGACAGGTGATTCTTCCACACAATACATGAGAAATAGTCTCCTCTGAAGACACCACTCCCATAGAGTAGTGCATCTCTCAATCCCGTCAGAGAAAATTCTTCTAGATGAGGAAAAATATACCAACACTCTTCTGGGAATTAGTTCTAAGAAACTATTCAGTTAACAAAAACAGGGAAGAAGAATAATAGGAGATAAGAATAGAAAGGATAATGAAGAAGTATAATAATAGAGAGTAATAGAAATAATATGAGCATTCCATTTTATGTGTAATATAATTAAACGGGTAATGTTTGTGAAAGAGTAAATAAAAAGATAGATCCAATCAGTACGGCACTTAATTAAATTTCCTTCCTTCTTGGGTATAAGTGACTTGTAGTGTTATTAATATGTCTTAACTATTCCAGAGGTTGCCTGCAAACCAAACAGAAATAATACTTCTTGATACTTTATAAGAGTATCACTGTGTCCTTGAATTATATGTTAAAATTTTCTTCAGTTTAACAGCTTTATTGAACATCACTTTTTTATGAATGGATTTCATGTTGTTGGCTCAATTTCTCCTTCTTCCTAATGTGTACCATAGCGTTTAGTTATTGCAATAGATCGATTTTTTAATATGTCATCTTATCAGACATATAATTCTTGACTAATTATTACCACTTTATCTCATATTGATTAACATCATTTCTTCTCCACTGATGCTGAGTCACTTTCAATATAACTCATGTGTTTAGCTTAGATAACTGAGCAAATGAAAATTACTCTTTCTGTACCTAAAGAAAGCAATATTATTGTAAAAATTTCAAGATATATATGAAATATATTATAAATATTATTTATATATAATATA